GACTGAATCACTCGTACTTATCGTTGAATTTCACACGCGTAAAAAAGGACACCTATGACTTCCCCATGTAAAGCAGAAATATAATTAATAGCCTGCGGATCTTTATGCAAAATAAAATTTGTTCAAGTTAATCTAAGAAACATAAGTCAGATATAAATGCCTTTCTTCTTTTAATGATCATAATAAATTGAAAATAATGTAACAATATCCTTCTATTCATCTAACATTCGACATATTCGTTTTTCATGGAAATAAGTAATATCCGCAGTCTACTAATTAATCTAGCTCTCGGCATAGTAAAACGTCATCACCGTTTCCCATTAATTCTTGCCTGAAATCTCGCGATCTCCGTGTAAGTATTGCAACTAAACTGCGGATATATACAGGGTGTCCTATAATTAGGGTATTTCCAGGAAATGAGAGATAGCTGAGGTGATTTGAAGTAACTTCTTCCTTAGCGAAAATGCAATCCGCGGCTTCGTTTGCGAGTTATTAACGAAAAACGCTGACCAATGAGATCGCGGCCACTGCCGTCGCGTCAGTCGGCCGGCGCGACGCGTCATTGGCCGAAAGGGCGGAGCGCTGGCCGCGCTCGCCTCTCATTGGTCACAGTTTTTCGCGAATAACTCGTAAACGAAGCCTCGGATCGCATTTTCGCAAAGGAAAAAGTTACTCGAAATGATCTCAGAAACCCCTCACTTCCCGGAAATACCATAATTTCATAACGCCCTTTATTCAAAATAAAAATTGCCTGCGCCAATCGAAACAAAAGTCAAACAAGAGACGCGTTTCCTCTCTTATCCGAACAATTACCCGAATAATTCAAGACCGATAGAACAGCAGCAATTAAATCCTCAAAATCATCCTATTTCCGATCGTTTCGCCAACACATTCGTGTCGTCGGCGCCTAAAATCCGCAGTCTAGTTAGTTATCGCAACCACCGATTTCCCAACCGGAGCTAATCAGAATTTCGCACGAGCAGATGCGGCCGCGTGCAAACAGCGAGTAAACGTTTGGATACGCGTCGGCCTCGTCCGAAAACGATTCGATATCGTAACCCGTAACCCGCGAAACGGAGCGTCTTTCTCTCTCGCGTTTATTCGCCGGCTAACGAGCAAGCCGTTCATTTTTCATTGTTCCGGAGATGTTCGTGCGCGGGCAACGACATGCTCGGCCATCTCCGGATCGCGCGGCGCGGCTCGTCGGTTCGCCGCGTTTCCAATATTGTCTGGCAATTATCTAGCTAAGGAATCGTTAACGACGAAACAGGCTAAAACAATAAGCGCGCGCGTACACGCGTGTATCGCGGTTTCACCGGCGGGCGTAATCACGTCTTCCAGAGGGATCGTATATCATTGTCTGGCTGTAGCGGCGTTCTCGGCAATCTTTTCTCGTACGGCGTACAGAGAACCGAGAGTCATGAAAGCGGTCAGCGCAACCGTAATGATTAGTTGCCGCCCATAATGCCGCATTCGATACCCTTATTGCCCCGATTTTCATAAGCCGGCTCTCCTCCGGCCGCCGCGATGCAGCGACTGTGCCGCATAGCGCTGCATATCGCGCCACGCTATGAAACGAACAGAACGAGCCCGTAGCATCAATCATGGTTCATCTGTTCCGCTTTTGCGGGTCGCGGAACGCTCGAACGTGTCATTAGAGGACCAAGCAACGTTTAAACCGGTCGCGCAGGCCTAACGCGAATTTATTGCGCTCGCGCGCTCGCGTCATCCCTGCCTCCTCCCGGTTTCCTACGCGTCTACCAGAGGATTCTTGACTTCTCTCCAATGGTCGGACCCGTTCTACGGCGCTTCTCTCTAACGCAACCGGCGACAGTTTATTTAGATAACGGTGTCAACAATGTAGTTCCGCGCGCGCGGTCTCTCTACCCAAGGCGTCTCGCCGCGTCCTCGTCGTTCGAGTATTTCTAACGGGCGCGAATCATAGCGTTATTTCGGACCACCTGAGCGATAAACTTCGCGGTGCGTGCCCGTTTTCTGGCCCCCTTGACACGCTCGCGTCTGCTTTGTCGATTCGATTCGATTCGCTTTCTTCGCGCGCGTAGCTATTCGCCTGAAAATCGTTGCAACCCCGGGCGTTCTGAAATTTCATTTTATTCCGTGAAATTGAGTGGCAGGAATTAGCATGTTTGCTGCCTAATTGCATCGATTTTCCTCGATTCGTTAACATGTTAATAGGGGGAGCAGATTGAGTTAGGGAAATGAGAAGCGTTGGACGATTGATACGAGCGACGAAATTAGGTTGGTTAACGTCGAGACAGACAACGCTTCGATCGAGTTCGGTCAAAAATTTCTCACGCAATATTTCAACGCGATTGCAGCGTTCGAAAGTTCCAAACGCTATTTCATGAAACTGTGTGTATGTGTGTATGTGTGTGTATCGTGAAACCTTTGGAATATGTTAAATGAATTCTCTCGAATATTTATCCATAAACATTAGTTATCCACAAATGTTACCGGTCTTGCACGAGCGCGCGCGCGCGTCGATTCCGCGAGAAACAATGAAAGAGCAACGTCGCGCGGCTCCGTTATCGCGTACCCATTCTACTTAAACCCCATCCGAGGCCACTCGAGGCTGCACTCGAACTCCTTGCCGGGGACCTCACCGAGCGTAACACCTTAAACGACCTCGTCCGCCGATAAAACTGTGTGTATCTTAAGCTTTCTGCCCGCCGTGCAGATCCTGATCCTGGATCGGTGTGTTTCGATAAGTGCCAGGCAGGGGAAGGGGGGTAAAGGGAGGGAGGCCGACCCTGAGCCACTTCACAGCAGCGATCCCTTATTGTGTCTTGAGCATGCTAGCGAGCGGCTAGGCTGGATTGGTTACCATGGGGGTAGCCCGGAGAGATAGCTGGAGAGAGAGGGGATAAAGGGGGGAGAGTGAGCTAAAGAGAGAGAAAGAGGGAATTAAACAGAGATAAATATATATAGAGAGAGACAATTAAACAGAGATAGAGGAAGAGAACGAGATAGAGAGAATTGAAAAGAGAGAGAGAGAGACAGAGACAGAATTAAAGAGAGGAAAAATGAGCTAAACGGAGAGAGAGAGAGAATTAAATAGAGAGAAAGAGAGACAGAGTTAAAGGGAAGGAGTATGACCTAGAGAGAGAGAGAGAGAGAGAGAGAGAGAGAATTAAAGAGACAGAAAGATAATTAAACAGAGATAAAGAAAGAGAGCGGAGGAGAGAGAAAATTAAACAGTGAGAGAGAGAGAGAGAGAGAGACAGAATTAAAAGGGGGAGAGACAACTAATCAGAAGAAGAGAAAGAGAGGAAGAGAATTAAACAGAGAGAGAGAGAGAGAGAGAGAGAGAGAGAGATAATTAAACAGAGGTAAAGAAAGAGAGCGGAGGAGAGAGAAAATTAAACAGAGAGAGAGAGAGAGAGAAAGGGAGAGAATTAAACAGAGATAGAAAGAGAGAGAGAGAGGGAGAGGGAGAGAGGGAGAGAATTAAACAGAGATAGAAAGAGAGAGTGAGAGAGGGAGGGAGAGAATTAAACAGAGATAGAAAGAGAGAGAGAGAGCGAGAAAGAGAGGGAAATGGCATTGTAGCCCGAACGGGGGGAAGGTAAGTGGTGAAAGCGCGGGGGTGGTGGTCGCTGGCAACGGTGCAGGGTAGAAGATCAACCCACGCGGTCTCCCGGACGTGCACCCTTTGTTAGTTCGGCTGCGCCTGAACTCGCACGAGCACGCCTCGAGACTTTCCGCGCGCGCAATCCCGTACGTCGTAGAATCCTCCTCAGAGCCCGAAACAACCGGCGGAGCACGAACAACAGTCGTCGACGTCGTCGGTGCGAGCGCAGCGTCGGAAAACGGCGACCGGCTGTTAGGCTGCATCGATTTTTCGAGAAGGTTGCATACGAGAACGCGGCCGATACCAATGACCCTCGACCTACTGGCGATTAAAGGTCAGAGACTGGCGTTGGCGGGAAGCCGAATCGATGGCAACGGCGCGCTGAACCGGGATCGTCGGTGTGCCGAAAACAACAGCGTCGAAGATACGTTGGACAACGAGGACCAGCGAGGACGAGCGCTCCAGTTCATGCGTGTTCCTCGAATCAGCTGCTGACATCCGCTCCGCTTCGCTCTGGTCTGCTGGGGTCTGCTAGGGTCCGCTCGGGTCCGCAGTGCTCCGCTCGGGTCCGCTCTGCTTCGCCCGGATCCGCTGCATTCCACTCGGGTCCACTCGGGTCCACTCGGATCCGCAGTGCTCCGCTCTGCTCCGCTCCGCTCGGATCCGCTCTGTTCCTCTCGGGTCCACTTGGGTCCGCTCTAGGCAGCTCGGTCCCGCTCGGGCCCGCTCGGATCCACTCTAGTCCATTTTGCTCCGCTCGTTTGATCCGCAGTGCTCCGCTCTGCTCCGCTCCGCTCGGATCCGCTCTACACCGCTCGGGTCCGCTTGGGTCCGCTCTAGACAGTTCGGGCCCGCTCGGGTCCACTCGGGTCCATTCTGCTCCGCTCGGTTCAGCAGTGCTCCGCTCTGCTCCACTCCGCTTTGCACCGCTCGGATCCCCTTGGGTCCGCTCTAGGCAGCTCGGGCCCGCTCTAGGCAGCTCGGGCCCGCTCGGGCCCACTCGGGTCAACCCAGAAGCTTCCTAGCTCCGGGCCGCGGTGAATCCCGTCACCTAGGCGACTCGGGCCGGAGCAGGCATGAATGAGTTTTTTCGCGGGACGCGGGTTCCGGGATCGAGCAGCGCCAGCACCGAGAATCATTGATCTTTCTCCCTCCCCCCCTCCCTACCCACCCGCCCCCCTGGCAACCGCCACGCGAACAACGTCACGCTTTGAGACGCGTGCACGACGCAATTCACTCGGTGACGACAGTGGCTCCCGGCTGGAGGCCCAGCCGGTCCTCATGAATGCAACAATATGGGAAGATCCCGCGACCAGCAGCACCGCTCCCGGACGAGCGTTCAGTGACAACACTCGACGTCGATCGTCGCGCGCGCTCGCACGTACCGTTTAATCGGATCCGCGAGAGATTTCGCGGCACGGATTCGCCACAGCGCCGATCGGCCCGTTATGCTCGCGAGTGTCGGCCGGACCGCGCGCGACCTGTTGCGACACGCCGCGGCCGACCGTATTCGTCGGCTCGGTCCTCCGCCGATCTTGTACACCAGCTTGCTTCGCGTCTCGTTGAACGAAACACCGACGAACAGAGTCCACGGACGAATCATCGATTGCTCGACTCGCTCTGCCGCGCGTTTCGTTTCCACCGTAAAATGGACGACGGCGCTCGTTCGCGTGGTTTCGCCCGCGTCTGACCAGTGACGGACTCGTACTACTCGGCGGCTAACCGGCGGCACGTCGACGACGGCGTGGCGTCGACGAACTTGGGGAATCGGAACGGTTTTGCCTCGACCGGCTCGCGAATGGATCGGCTCGCGCGGACGGTGCTCGATTTTTCGCGGCTGTTCGGGATCGGTCGCGGCGCGGATCACGGCGAACGGGAACATCGCGGCGTCGAGGAGAGGACGGAAACGCGGACGAACTGTTTCGCGAGCGGACGACGTCTCGTTTCGGGATTTCGGACACGGAGCAGCGGGATCCTATGAACCGATACAGTACGAGGAAGAAGATGAATAGTTTTTGAGAATTTTTGCCGTTCGGTCACTCGTGCGAGGAGAGACATATTTTTTTAAGCGGTCTGTTCACCGACAAGTACAAGATGATAGAGAAGGGAACCAAAAGTGCAACGACAACCTGAGACAATCGAGAGAATCGAGCTTAACGACGATCTTGCGATAAATTAGCGACAATTCTAGATCGATATAGGAGATACACGTAATATCGAGGGCCTACGACGATGAATTTCCCATTGAAGAACAACATGTTCGCCGCGAACAAGCTGCCGTGGATGGAGAGCTGGCACTCGTTCAACATGGATCTGACGACGTTCCAGCCGAATTTGCCGCCGTACTCGTTATTGTACCATCCGTACAACAATTTCTCGGTGTCCGCTTATCAGAACTATCTCGATTTCCATCGGTACATCCGCTCGAGGCTGACGCTCAATCCTTATAGATCGTTCGATCATCGGTTATGCTGCTGCGGTACGAAGAACGTGTTCTCCTCTGTGTTCGGTAAATAATTTTTAAACAATCGATGATTATCGATGATTTTACGATGGTACGTTATGTTGCTGGGAGGGTGAGATTGTTCGTGGAATTCGTTGAAAATTGTCTCGGATGATTTGCAGCGAATATTCTCGAACGATCGATGATACGATTGCTCGAAGACTTGTATATTATCACGTTGAACGCCACGCGGGTCACCGGTGACCGGCACTTAACTTGGCGGTGACCGGCGCGCCCAAATTGATAGAAATATATATATAATTTAAAACAAATGTGTGTCGATATCTAAAATTTTGTATTATTACCATCGTCGATTCAAACAGTGGCCCCTGTCGCAATTAACATGTCAAACATGGTTATACACTGTAACTTATCTATTACAAATAATATTTCAACATTATATGTATCACACAAAAAAAAATTCATCGTGGCGCCACGGGCAATTTCTGTAAAACCGGCGTGGCATTCAACGTGTTATACAAGGGTGTCCGAAAAATGTCTCGCAATACGGAAATGTGGAGTAGCTGAGGTCATTCCAAGTAACTTTTTCCTTTGGGAAAATGCAATCTGCGGCTTTGTTTACCAGTTATTAACGAAAAACGCTGACCGATGAGAGGTGACGGTTACTTCGAATGATCTCAGGAACCCCTCGTTTTCCGGGAATACCGTAATTTTGAGACACCCTGTAGACTAATGTGGGTACGTGTGAATACGTGTAATTCTATTGCTTCGATTAATTCGATTACCGTGTAAATAAATGCACAGATTTCGCGTAATTCGCAGGTAGTTGAGCATACTTATGAGTCGTTTGGCTTGTGCTAATTTTTTTAATCGTATTCGATTGTTAGAAAGAGTCGGAATTCGTATTGAAATGTTTAATGGAACGCGGACTTTGAACTGAAACTTTGGAGAATAATTGTACGAACTATTACTACGATATTTATAGAAATATTTGTAGGAGCCGAAGATTAATAACTTCCAAAATTGCAGCACCCATCGGTGCTCGCGGACTCGCGTGCGTTAACCTCGCGAGACACGCGTGTGCGTGTATACGTAAGCATAGTGATCTAAACGTCGCGATCTAAACATCGCGACGATGCTAGGACGATCGGCAAGCATTATGCGCTGGTCGAACGAAAGGGCCAAATTCGAAGGAAGATCCGTAACGATTGATCAGCGCACTAATAAAAGGATGCGCTCGCAGGGCGCGAGGGGAGGGGACAGAACGCGATGAACGTCGACACGCAATTTACGATCGCGATCACGATTACAGGATTTAGGATACGGATAAAGATACGGAATTATTTTATAACGAACACGATTTCACGACTTCGGCGCACGCGATTACGAGGATTATTTTATTCTGCTTTGCTGTCTTTTTCTATTGTATTTTTCGTGCGTCACTGTTTGGTTAAATTAAATAGAATAATTACCAAAAGATACTATCTCTCAATTTATAGACATTTATATGGAATATTTCTTGCAATATTTCTTGGAATATTTCTCAGAATATTTTATCTTTCACGGAGTACTTCGGTGCATCGAATGATCAAAGAACATTCCGGTAAAATGAGAAACAAAATACAATTAACATAGAATACAAAAAATCGAAAGATTAAAGAGCGCAAAGAGCTCGCGAAACGAAGAAGGAACGAACTTAGTAACGAGGAAACAGCGCAATCGTTCCTCGAACGCGCCGTTTAAACTCGTCGCAAAATTCCATCGACTGTCGCGATCCAAGACGTCGCGATCCAAGACGTCGCGATGAAAACAAGCAATCATCCACACGATCGGCTTATTAATCGTCATCGCAATCATCCCGTTGGTCACGCGACTCGTTATCCGCCGCTGACATCGCTGCTTGATCGCCGATCGATGAATGAACTTCCACGATCCACAGACCGCGGATATTTACGCGAGGTCGACAGACAATCTTTATGAAAATACGACCTTCTGATAAAGAATTGACCGGCATTTTTCACGGTGGAATTGATCTTCGCGGTGGGTTTTCGCGGTTTATCGATCGATACGATTTTTTCGGCGCGTCACGACGTTTCGTTTTGGGAATCTTCGGCTCGCGCGACACTCGAATCGCAAATGTTCTTCCGTAAGAAATTTTTCAATGCGTTCATTTATTTGTCAGCAATTTTTCTCAGTTATCGTACTAATTTATATCTCAATCTAGTTGCTTCTTGTCGGATAAAATTCATTTCGTTGATCAATTTCAATTGATTTCGGTGTTATCAATTAACGATCGACTTTTCAGTTTTGATATTACGGTACTTTGAAATTTGTTTATATTAAGAACTTTCCCTTATAATTTTTCCCACAACACGGTTAAATAATTTGTTAAAAGATGATGCGATGAAAGAAAGAACATAAAACGTTGTAAAAACCATATTGTTCTCAGCTTTCCGAAGCTGAAATGAAAAAATGAAAGAATGAGACTCAAAAATATAATATTAAATAATCTTAATAACAAAAAGAATGCCAGCAGATTCTCATATAAGTCGAGGCAAACAAATAAGGCAGAAAACCATGGTCATAACGACCAAAAACTATGATCCAGCCAAATCCAAAGTACAGTTCAGAATATTTATATTTCATCGTAATCTTCGAAAAGGCCGCCCTAGTGTCGCCCTAGTGTTTATCACCCTAGCGTCTAAAGATCGTAGAACGCGACGAAAACGCGTCCGTTAAAAATCGGAAGCTCGAGCAGCCTGTTAATCGGGGGCTCGACGGTGTCCCGTTGATCATCCGCGGCGGATGCGAGAAGAAGAGCAACGGTAATCGAATAATCCGCGGGAACCGATATTCACGGCGATCATGCTATTAATAGAGCTTGGAAACTGGAACCTAGGTACCTACAATCACAACTCGGCCTTGTCAACTGCATTCCTTCCTTGACCTACACGGGCAGCCGTGGTCCCACATCCTTTTCCACGATCCGGCCGCCGCGTCGCGCCGCGCCGCGCCGCGAGTATTACGCTTTCGCGTCGGCCGCGTAAATTGCTCTCGGTGTCTCAGTGCTTGGACATGTTCCTGGGACGTGCACGTGCTATTCAGAAACTCTCATCGGCAGATCCGCGCGCGTTACAAGCCGAGGGAACACGCCGAAGCCGAATCCACGTCCGAACAATCTTCGAGCAATACGACACGCGGCCGCCGCCGCGTTCCCGCGAACCGTCCTGAGAAAACTGGCCGCCGGAACTTCGCAGACTGGTCCCGGACCAGTTAACTTCGATCAGGATCATGTCGGTTTATCGCCTTTTACCGCGGCAGGGCCGTAAACCGATTCCAAAGTTGCCTTCGGGCTCGGTCGAAACGCCGCTCGAATCGAATTCGATCGCGCGAATTTCCTTGTCCCTCGACACCTTCCGTTCCTGCATCGGCTTGTTTCGCTTGTTTTCATGGCCGTTGAAAGCTCGAACCAAACAACCGAAGGCGGCGGATTTTTTAATTCGATCGCGTTGCGTTCGACGCCAGGTTTAATCGCGAGCCGGTTCGTTCGAGCGGCGCGTTTTCGCGAGCACAACTTTCGCCGGTAACTCGATCAACGCGCTCGATTCGCGCGAATTTTAGACGGTATTTGTCCCCGTGACGGGTTAACGGTTTAAACGGGAGCTCGGGTTTAGTTCGAAACGAACGGCGACCATGGTTTTTCATTCGTTTTTCATTCGGATCGCGCGAGCCGATCGACGACGCACCGACGATTTTATTCCTTTTCATTTTGTCATATTGACAGTTTATGGTGGAACGTAATAATTCCCGAGGAGATCATTTTTATGCAGCCTTGTAAAAACTACGCGATCGGATTACAGATAAAAATGTGGGAGAAACTGCATCGAATTTGAAAGAAGAATATTCGATGCCCGATCCATGGGGAGAACGCGAACGCGCGAAGCACGCGGCAAAAAGGACCGTGAATAAACGTGCGCTTCTTTCGCGTTTCCTTTCTCTTGCAGAACACTTTTGACAGAAATATTGCCGCGTGACTCTCGTTTCCATCGAATTCTCTAATTTAGATTTGTCCCGACCGCTCGGGACTTTGGACTTGACCTATGACACGGAGGGTCGAACTTTTGATCGGCGCTGCGGGCGACTTGCTTTTTTTTTAACCAGTTAAGCGTGTTTGACGAGTATATCCGTCATGGAGATGCGGAAGAACTTTGTGTCATGACGATTATATCAGTCATTCGTAAAATTTTGCTACAATTTGATGTTTAAATTGTGATTCTTGGCGAAAACTAAATTATATTCGTGAATTTTAACCCTTCGCACTCGAAGCTATTTCAACGGTAAATCTAAAATAATTTCTCTGACTTATATAGTATTCTTATTTCACATGAAAAAGTGCATCTTGCGCATATGAAATTGACTCTTGTGACTCACGCAACGGTTACGCTCTTAACTATCTTTTTACATCTAAACTTTGCTAATGTAAAAATGATTTTAAAACGTGACAAATTCTAATGGTGCCCCAGAGTCGCCACTCTAGTGCAAAGGGTTGATATGTTTAAAATATTTAGAAGTCAAGACGAAATGAAACAAACAAATGAAAATTATAAATAATTCGAGTTGAATTCATAGCTTCCTGAGAGCTAACTCGTCGTCGCTTGTTTATCGCGACACACGCTGGTGGGCGCTTTGCAAAGAGATCGCCACAATTAACTGGTTAAATCGTAGACGGCGGTCTGTCAACGTCGCGTGTGTTAAGCGATCGTAAAAATGATCGCTTAAATCAGGGGTGTCAAACTCGCGGCCCGCGATGAACATTTTTGATGTCAAGTATCAGGACGTAAACAATAATTTAACTTTATATATGCGTTTATTACAATGTACTAGTCGAAATAAAAATATTTGTTTCTATGAACATCGATTTTTTTTTGCGGCCCACCTAAAGTTAAGCGTTGTTTATTTATTATTATGGCCCAAGTTAGCTTTTGAGTTTGACACCCCTGGCTTAAATGATCGCTTAAACGATCGCATAAAAATAAACAATGTAGAGCCACGAATATGTCAAAAATTTTCAAATAAACATGCACAATATCAATCAACCGGGCGACTAGAAATTCGCGGTCGACGCTTCGGCCACCCCTGATCAGCGAAAACAATGCAGGGAAAAAATCGATGTAACGCGTGTCGCAAGTGAAAAGATCGTCGAATTGTTGCGGCCGGTTCGATCCCGCGGCAACGGCGATCGGCAAAAACGCGGGGTCGCTTCTTTCGAAATCCGGCTGTCAACGTAATAAAACACCGGATTGGCATCGGCCCGCGATAAATGTCATTAATCATTGTGATAGACCACCGGCGCGCGATGATTAATAACATTTTCACAACGACTGAAACCGGCCGTCGGGGACCAAGCCCATTAACGGGAACACATCGGCGGCGCAAGACGGTTACGCGATCATTGAACCGGACGGTTTCAGTCATCCATCCGCGGCGCGGATGGATGGCAACGTACGTACGGGACGAGCGATTTTCGTCCCGGGGATTTTACTTTCGTAAGATCGCGCGGGAGTTAATTGTTATTAATGCGCGCTCTGCGAACGCGCGGTTGCGCAACCGCGAATCCGGACGGACAATGCGTTTGCCGCGGCGCGCACAACCGCATCGCGAACGGAATGCAAATAACCTGTTCGTCGCCGTTAGAACAAACTGGGATAGGTAGGGCCGATTTGTTATGGCGAGCCGTCCGTTCGGTATCGTTCGTAACTCGTTACTTTCCCGTTCGAAACGATCGCCGAGTCGGCTCGACATCAGCCAGACGATGCATCGCGGGCTCGAAGGAATATCGTGCGCTCGTACGATAGAGGAAAATAGAATTTTTTTTCATTCACGTCTTCGCCTTCTGGCCTCGTAGACAAAACCCAACGTAACTCGATTAAAAACCCGAGGCAATCTACCGGTTTTTTAGCCATCGCCGCAAAGTTTTCCACCATCGCGCCCGGCCGAAAAAATCGCCCGTCGCCGAAAACGCCGCCAACATTTCCCGATTCTTAATCGCGGAAACACGCGACGCCTCTTAACTTTCTCCCGGCGACACCCATATCCGCGTGGCTCCCAAAGGCGCTCGTAAATCGCTCGCGAATCGCTCGCTAAGGCGCTCGCAAAGGCGCTCGAAAATCGCTCGAAAATCGCTCGAAAATCGTTCGCGAATCGCTCACAAAGGCGCTCGAAAATCGCCCGCGAATCGTTCGCAAAGACGCTCGCAAATCGCTCGCGAATCGCTCCGTCCGGCTCGATCACTTTTCCCGCGCGGTCGTCGCTGTCCCGGCGTGTCCGTCCCGCGCGGAAAATCCGCTCAGTCATCGTCCGCATAGTCGAGCAGCGGGCCGCCACGATCATCGCCGGATCCACGATCATCCTCATTCCCGGGTAACCGGAACGCGGCTGTGCGGCCTGTCCGAAAGCTGAACAGCCCGAGAACGTGGCCGTGGCTACCGCACGCACACACCGAAGTTAATCACGTCGCGAATGTAGCGTCGGTCCTGTCCTAAACGTGAGATCAACGCCTTATTTCTCAGACTCCCCGGTATCCCTCGGATCAGCAGGCTCGCCGCTCGGGATCCAGCCGGCGGACGCTCCTTCACCCATAAACTTTCCTGCTCCAGGAGAGAGCATGGCCGACACCTCGACCCTGTCGCCGGAGGCTAACATGCCGGGCTCGCCGGGCTGCCCCATGGTCAAAGTGAAAAGCGAGTATCTGCTAGGCATCCCGAGTCCGGGGACACCTCGAGATCCTCTCCGGGGCGGTGGCGCGGCAGCCGGCTTGGAGACCCGGGACACAGGGTGCTCGGACCGTGCGTCGCCCGATTCAGTCTTCCCGGACGCCAGTTCGATGGTGGGCTTCAGAGTCGTCGAGGAGCAGCAGCAGCAGCAGCAGCAGCAGCAACAGCAGCAGCAGCAGCAGCAGCAACAGCAGCAACAGCAGCAGCAGCAGCAGCAGCAGCATCAACAGCACCACCACCAGCAGCAGCAGCAGCAGCAACAACAACAGCAGCACCAGCAGCAGCAGCACCATCATCAACAGCAGCAGCAGCAGCAGCAGCAGCAACGTTCTGGCACCCCGGCGCCAGCCAGATCGTCGCCTTACTCGCCTATGCAGGCGGTCTCCACGACTCCAATGCCCCAGGAAGCGACCTCGAGGAGCGACAGCCCGGACAAGGGCGACCTATCCTCCGCCCAAACGAAAGAGGAGTCCGACAACTCGGTTTTCGACGGCGGAGGTGGCAGCAGCACCGGCAGCGGCGGAGGCGGCCGTTCCGAGACCTCCAGCCAGCCCAGCCATCGGAGCAGCCCTTCCTCGCAGTACAACTCGAACCAGAGCATGAGTCCAAGCGCGAGCACCCAACACGGTGTTCAACAGCAACAACAACAACAGCAGCAGCAGCAACAGCAGCAACAGCAGCAGCAGCAGCAACAACAGCCGCAGACCCCGCCGACGCCACCCAGACCAAGAGCACCCTCGGTGCCGCCTCATCTCCTGGCTCACCACCAATTTTGGACGCAGAACTCCGGTGTACAGGGATTCGCCACCCAAAGGCTACTTAACGGAGTGATCAGCAGCGCCGTGAACTACGGGCAAAATGTCGCCGTTGTCTCCACCAGCAGCGGCAACACGAACCTCAGCAACACGGGATCCGGGGGCAACGGGCCCGCCTCCGGGAACACCTGCACCACCACCACTGTGTCCATGTGTAAGCGAATCTCTTTGGTTTTTCTTTGTTATTGTATCTCTAGAGCTTAATTGGGTCTTGTTCTGAGCAGGTTGGACCATCCGACGCGACCGATGATTTAGTTTCTTTCTCGGCGATCGAGAAAAGAGTTACAGCAATGTCTCCCTAATTGACGTTCATAAATGGACAATTTGGGAAGAGGGGATACGATTAGTCGAGCCTTGCGGTTCGTTTTTATAGTTTCGAATTGTCAAGGACTATAAGAACGAGCTGCAGGGCTCGGATAATCGTATCTTTTCTCCCCAAATTGTCTATTTTTGTGCACAATCTGAGCGTCAATTAGGGAGACTTTAATGCACAGTAATGTCTCCCATACTGACGCTCGGATTGGGCAGAAAAATGGACAATTTGGGAGGAGGAGATACTGTCTCTTATACACATCTAGATGTGTATAAGAGACAGTATCTCCTCCTCCCAAATTGTCCATTTTTCTGCCCAATCCGAGCGTCAGTATGGGCTGTCTCTTATACACATCTAGATGTGTATAAGAGACAGTATCTCCTCCTCCCAAATTGTCCATTTTTCTGCCCAATCCGAGCGTCAGTATGGGCTGTCTCTTATACACATCTAGATGTGTATAAGAGACAGTATCTCCTCCTCCCAAATTGTCCATTTTTCTGCCCAATCCGAGCGTCAGTATGGGCTGTCTCTTATACACATCTAGATGTGTATAAGAGACAGTATCTCCTCCTCCCAAATTGTCCATTTTTCTGCCCAATCCGAGCGTCAGTATGGGCTGTCTCTTATACACATCTAGATGTGTATAAGAGACAGTATCTCCTCCTCCCAAATTGTCCATTTTTCTGCCCAATCCGAGCGTCAGTATGGGCTGTCTCTTATACACATCTAGATGTGTATAAGAGACAGTATCTCCTCCTCCCAAATTGTCCATTTTTCTGCCCAATCCGAGCGTCAGTATGGGCTGTCTCTTATACACATCTAGATGTGTATAAGAGACAGCCCATACTGACGCTCGGATTGTGCAGAAAAATGGACGATTTGGGAGGAGGAGACACGATTATTCGAGGCTTGCAAAAAAAAACGAGCCACAAGGCTCGAATAATCGTATCTCCTCCTCCCAAATTGTCTACTTTTGTGTACAATTTGGACGACAATTGGGGAGACATCACTGTATTTCGATTTCGAAGGTATGTACATTAAAGTCTCCCTAATTGACACTGAGATTATGCAGAAAAATGGACAATTTTGGAAGAGGAGACACGATTAATCGAGCCTTGCAGTTAGTTTTTACAGTTACCGATTATCAACAATTATAAAAAACGAGTCGCAAGGCTCGATTTGTCTATTTTTGTGCACAATCTGAACGTCAATTGGGGAAACATTACTGCATTTCGATTTCGAAGGTATCTTCGACGCTGCTTCTTTTCCGGAAACAAGCTTCCGGAAAGCTCCGCTTTCAATTTTCTCATGCGCAATGTTGCAATCCTTTAGCGTATCGGCTAGTGTACGCGATCTCCTGACCGAATACTAAGCTCGAAAACTAGTACAAGACTCCAGGTCTATGAAAAATGTTTCCAACCCTCGGCCAAGCATTGAACCGTGGACTCGCGACAAGGAAACGCTCGTACCTGTCCCTCCAATAGATAAGAATAGCTTTGTCCCTCGCCTAAGCAAACGCTTCTTGACCTCCTCTAGCCGACGAACAGGTCGCGGCGTTGCGTGTACCAGCGTCCAAGGTTGCAGCATTGCGTATGACAGCGTCGAAGGTCACCTTGAAGACTCCGCAAAAATGCTATAAAGGTCTCTCCGAGCCTCGCTAGACTCCTTGAATGTCCGGATCGCTTTACCAGCTGCAGAATAATCGAAGACGGTCGTGTCCGGTGGTCCCAGCTACGCGTAGACCGTCACCCCGGCCTCCTCTGAGCGCGGGGCGCTAAGTTTGAGAAACGTGCTTGCTGTTCCAGGTGAAACGATGAAGCCTCCGGCGCAGAGGCCGGCGCCGGCGCCCCCCAGACCGCCGCCCACGGTGATCATGGGGGAGATCGGGGGCGTGAGGACGATGATATGGTCCGCGCCGCCCTTGGACCCGGTGCCGCCGCCAGCGGCGTCCTGGACGACCACCGCCGCGGCGGCCTCCTGTTCCTCGTCGGAGGAATCGGCCGCCCAGCTGCTCCTGAACCTGGGCCAGGAGTCCAGGGGCAAGCCGCCCTCCGTTTCCTACTCGTCCGGGCCGCCTCTCAACATGGAGAGGTTATGGGCCGGCGACATGACGCAACTGCCGGCCGCCCAGCAGATGCAGGCGTTGAACCTGACCGCTTCCGGGTCCAGTCAGACGTGGGTGAGGAACGGCGGGGTCGTCAAGTCCGAGTCGGCGTCGCAATCGATGTCCGTCGCGCCGCCCGCGCCCCCGATGCCGCCCCAGGAACACGAGGAGGACGAGACGCCTATGATATGCATGATCTGCGAGGACAAGGCCACCGGTCTTCACTACGGCATCATCACGTGCGAGGGGTGAGTTGCCGGGCTCGTTGGTTCTCTTCTTCTTCTTCTTTTTTTCTTCTTTTTCTTTTTCTTTTTCTTCTTCTTCTTCTTCTTCTTTTTCTTCTTCTTTTTCTTTTTCTTCTTCTTCTTCTTCTCTTCTTCTTCTTCTTCTTCTTCTTCGCCGTCTCTTGGACCACTTTTTTCGGCTGTGAGCCGCTGAGCTTCGTGTAACCTAGGCTAGCTTAGGCTAGCCTAATCTGGGGCACGGGATGTCAGGAAATAAAAGAGACCAGTGTTGCATAGAAATTTTACTTTATTTTATAGTTTCGAGTTAAACGAAATTGATGCATTTTTATTAACGAGGGAATCGCGTAATATAAGAGCACAGGAAAATAATAAAAATTCAATTTGGAACTAGGCTAGCCTAATCTGTCAAGGGGCGCCGGATTTCAGGATATAAAAGAGACCAATGTTGCACAGAAATTTTACTTTATTTCATAGTTTTTAGTTAAACGAAATTGATGCGTTTTTATTAACGAGGGAATCGCATACAATAAAAGCATAGTAAAATAATAATAATAATTGAATTTGTTCAAGTTCAATTTGTTTTGTTATAGGGTGGGACTAGGCTAGCCTAATCTGTCAAGGGGCACGGGATTTCACGAAATAAAAGAGACCAGTGTTGCACAGAAATTTTACTTTATTTTATAGCTTTTAGTTAAACGAAATTGATGCGAGGGTATAGTAATATAATAGTAATTGAAAAAGCATAGTAATATAATAATAATTGAATTTGTTCAAGTTCAATTTGCTTTGTTATAGCGTGGGACTCGAATAGTTCCACCGTGAAACATTGGTTCGTGAATGCGCGTGCAATTATTGCAATATTTCGAGACTAAAAATGTCTCACCTTTTTTAATACATGGTTTAATACATTTTTAATCCCACCGTGCCCCAAAGAGTTAACTGCACTTTTTCCAGTGCAGGTCGTTGAAATCAGGGATCAGTTTAGCGTAGCTTGCGATCTTCGCAGGATTCGCATACTTTTCTAGATCCGAACTTTTTGACTATGTGAGCTGCATTATGAATTCGCTATAAATGTAATAGTGCCGCGAATATGCAGTAAGTAGAGTGCGGATTTTATGCAAAAACCTGTAAGAAAAATGAAGAAACGAGACGCAGAACGGCGAGGACAGAATTCTGTAGTGACTTTACACGCGGACAGACTTACACCAGACCAAAAAGTCCTGTCTACACGGCCCTATACATGTATATATTTTTCCTATACACGCATAAAATCCGCAGTCTGCTTATCACATGTTCGCAGCACCATTAGATCGAATTAATAATTCAGATCGCGTGGTCGAAAAGTCGCGAATCCAGAAAAGCGAGCGAATCCTGCGAAGATCCCTCGTACGATGCACTCTGTAAAGCGTCTAACATCCGGAACGTAATGCAATCGGATCGGACGTTTAACAAAGTGCAACGCATCCGCATGCATCCCGGAAACATTTCGAGGTCCAATGGATTTCGCCGCGCGACAGAGGACGCGCGGCAGAGGTTCGGATGTCCCGGTTAATTGGAGATAATTACAGAGAACTATGCTAGGCGGAAAGCTAGGACCGCCACTAGTCATGATAGCGAGAGGGTGCCTCACGGCGAACTCTGACCTTTCGGTGTCCTCCCCGTTTGATACGCGGCTTCCAGCGACTCGGAAATACACTCGATCGCTAGCTTCTTCGAAGACGGTGCGTCACTGGGCAGCCAAGAACGTATACGTATATAGATAGAAGAAATCTCATAGGTGAAAGACACGATCCTACGTCACCTTGTGCATCAGAGTTCGGCTTATCCGTGACGCGATTCTTTGTCTTCCTATTCCGAGCATATCTTTTTTTCTTTTTCACCGACCTTTCCGTGCTTCGTCGAATCCGTTCGCGACGAACGATCGGCATCTTGAATTCTTTACGCTCTGCGACAGGGAAAACCTCGGATTTCGTTGCGTCCGTGAATTCTATTCGGGATTCGAGCGTCGCGAAAATACGTTCGTATTAATTGATTGAAAAGGTAATCATTGGCGGGTCGGTGGAAAGCCGGATCCGATAATTGATTGACGCGTCGTCGGAGGAAACCTATCTTTTTTGCTGAGAAAGTTAAATTAGTAGAGTTATAATAGTATATAATAATAATAATATAATATAATGATATAATAATAATAATACAATATAATAATACAATAATAACTATGGTACAAGTTCAGTGCTTATAAAAATGTTTATAGAAGCATAGAAATTATTTTTATCGTTTTCATGAACGCGATTTCAGTAAGTTTGATTGTTTTTATAAACATTTTTATAAACATCGAACAATGGTTGTGATTAATTTAAGTATAGAGTTATATATTATATATTATTATTCTATTATTATATTATATTATTACTGCATTATTGTATTATACTATTATTATTTTATTATTGTACTATTATATTATAACTTGTTAGAACAAAATTCGTAATGTAATTATTATACAAATTGGCAGGATTTTGGGCGCAGTAAAAAATAAGTACTCCCTAATTGACTCCCTTTTTCTTTTTAAAGAGAAAGTTGGTCCAACTTTTTGAAGGTGACGTAGGCAAAAGTAACAATATAAACTGAAAACTGTGCTTCAAGGTGTACGCCATACCACTATATCCTGCACCATGGTTGATTAGTCTCTAAAGTCACCTCGGGGTGTCGTTACACGCCTTCGTACTTGTTTATCCTATGTCTATTGTCCTGTCGGAGGAGCCAGGCAAATTACTTGGTAAAAGTCCTCCATCGTGTTTCCCTATGCAACCCGGTATAACCGTAATTCAGTGGTCGTGAATCTTTAAACTGTCTCTAGGTTAAAGTAGCAGGACACTCTCTCTCCAAGGAGCGAGCGCTATAGACGTGTATTTGAAAGTTAGTTCGTGGTGCTATTAATAACTCGACCACTGTTAATGTGTATGTACGAATTCGCAATCTTTTCAAGCAAAACGAGGAGAGCCTTTCGATGACTTTCCGTGACATCAATTAATTCTAAATTGTACGCTAAAATAGTATTTTCAGTATTTTTAATATTTCTAGAATTTTTAATATTTTTGGTATTTTTAGGATTTTTGTTATTTTCAGTATTTTCAATATTTTTAATATTTTTAGTATTTTTGATATTTTCTGTATGTTTAGTATTTTTAGTATTTTCAGTATTTTCAGTACTTTTAATATTTTTAGTATTTTTGATATTTTCTGTATGTTTAATATTTTTAGTATTTTCAGTATTTTTAATATTTTAGTATTTTCAATATTTTTAGTACTTTTAGTATTTCTACTATTTTTAGTATCTTTAGTATTTCTAGTATTTCTACTATTTCTACTATTTCTACTATTTCTAGTATTTTTAGTATTTTTAGTATTTTTAATATTTTTAATATCTTTAGTATTTTTAGTATTTTTAGTATTTTTAGTATTCTTAGTATTCTTAGTATTTTTAGTATTTTTAATATCTAAGACGAACTTCGTCATCGTCCAAAAAAGCTCTTGAACCGAGCAAATTCGGTTTCAAGAAGCGATTAAGGTTAATATCGCCGAGAAGACGGTCACAAATAGGCTTTCATCTGCAATTGTCGGCCAGGTCGGAAATGATTTTCTTATTTGTGCGCAGGTGTAAAGGGTTCTTCAAGAGAACCGTCCAAAACAGGCGGGTGTACACCTGCGTGGCAGAAGGTGGCTGCGAAATCACGAAAGCCCAAAGAAACAGGTGTCAATACTGTCGCTTTAAAAAGTGCATTGAACAGGGTATGGTCCTTCAGGCGGTTCGAGAAGATCGGATGCCTGGCGGTAGAAATTCTGGTGCTGTGTATAACCTTTACAAGGTACGTATAAACTTAACTCGTTATTCTACTTATTTCCCCGATTCGATTTTCTGAAAAAAAATGAAGCAATCCCAACTTCGACGTCCTTAACATCGCTGTTCAAATATTTCCGTGAAACCAATTGCGTCTGTCGGACAAGCTACGATCGAAAAAAAGCTTCGCAAATACGAAAGTCTTCTCGCAGAAATAAAGCTCAATTTTGCAATTCTAATTTCAATTGAAAACCTTAAATCACGACTGCGCGAACGTTAAAAAAGTCGTCAAAACATGTTCATGCAGATAACGGAATTAATTTCGGTGAAATTATTAACGTGCATATAAAACAAATCCACAAGAACAAACAAATTTTCGTTGCAGGCTCTGACAAAAAAAAAGTTAAAAAACGAGAGTCTTTTATTTTATTTTCTCATTCTAAGCAATAGCAACCTTTTAAAGAAAGCGTTCTAGTTACGATCTAGTAAACTAATCCCTCTATCGTCTAGCAGAACAAATTCAAGTCGTTTAGACCAGTTCTAAAAAAAGTTATCGCATTTTGAAAAGCGTCCGAATATTAACGAGAGCGTCGCTGTATTTACAGCTTCCGTAAGAAGCTCGCGATTTGCGCAGAGCTTCGAACGTTTCGCGACAAACCGCGAAAGGGTTCTTGAAACCTAAATCACCTAAAGGTGAAATGGTTAAGCTTCCGCGATAACGTGTCCCGGACGATTATTGTTCGCAGGTGAAATACAAAAAGCACAAGAAAAGTAACAAAACTAGCGGAGTGGGCGGAAGCATGGGTGGCATGGGTGGCGGCGGTAACGTTGGCGGTGTGAACGGGTCGGGATCCCTCGGTGGCACCAAAGGCACCATGGGCTCGACGATGTTGGACAAACACATGGCCGCGGCCGCGGCCGCGCACCACAGCCAACAGCAACACGCTCAGCTGGCTGGTGGTTTCCTTCATCATCACAAAATTTCGTCGGGCGACCCGCTCAACTCTCAACCTACCCCCAGTCATCCGAGTCACCCCGCGCATTCGGGTCACCTCGTCAACGGGACGATCTTGAAGACGGCGCTCACCAACCCCTCCGAAGTAAGTGTTTTCACCACATCTTCGCTCCCCCCCCCCCCTCGCTACGCGAGAAGTATCCCCCCTCGAATTATCGGGGGGATAATTCTTCTCAACCTCCGAAGTATCGGGACACTTGCAGAATATTAGATAAATATGAAAATCCTATATGAAACGTTTATAATATCTTTAATTGATTTATTTGAATTTAATTATATCGAACTAATTATATTAAAGACAAATACATGGATATATTTGCAATAAAAGTATGCGATAAAAATAACGTCAACGTCAACGAAAATTGCATTTTCTTTTCGTCGATGTATCCACCGCGTTTTTTAATCACTTCTCGGAACAACTTCGGCACCCGTTTTCCTAGTTTTTCTATTATTTCGGATAAACATTTTGATAGCGCATTTCGTAGTACGTCGCGCGTATTAAGAAAACATATCAACAATCGATTCTATTTTCGATAGCCTCGCGTTTCCGGGTTCTGATAAAAGATCTAAGAAATATAAAAGATCAGAGTAGAAATTAATTTTCGAGCGAACAATTGCGTCGGCCGCGAACGAGTCACGTGGCAGCCGAAGCGTCAACGACATTAACAAGACGACAACCATTTCGCAATAGCATAAATTGCCTTTACAATGAAAAATAGAAAATTTCCAACTTGCTAAAAATACTCTTCGACGCCGAAGGATCCGTTGAAACAATCCTGAAAATGGCGCGGTTTCGTCGTCAGTCCGTTCGACTGGACGAAAGGAAATGCTTGCTTATGATAAACAAAAGTTATGATACCCGAATCAAGGAATTGCATAAAATAGTCAAAATCGAAATCAAGAAATACGGTAAACAAAATTACGGAGAAATTAACGGTAAATCTGGCGCAAGAAACGCGCCGATTCCGCGGTAGAATTGAAACTTGCAAATCGCTCGGCTCGGAAACGGGATTACCGGGCTGAAAACAAAGCCAAGCGCGCTCGCGGCAGTCCATCGAGTATGGTAATTTTTGCGCGATTTTTTTACACAGGCACGGAGCATTTCTACACAAGCTCGTAAACCGTGACGGCGCAACACGCGGCCGGCGTTCGATTTCACGCGATGTTTCTGCGTGATAATTCGCGGGGCGCGCGGCGCGCAGCGCGGAATACACGGGCACGGCGAACAGATTCCCCGGGATTTCTCTATCAGCGGTCGGCGGTTCGGGGCCCCGATTATCTAACGGGCCGCCGATTCTACGCGCGAAACATTAATTAGCCTTTTGTTGAGACGTTCCCGGGCAACCGCGGCTGGTAGCCGCGTGTAGATCAACGTCTGTTGCGGAGCAGATCCGAGTGATTTATTCGACGCGGCTCGTTAGAAATCGAACACGGGTCGACAAAAGTTGATCTGCCGCGAGAGAACGATAGAGAAACAGAGAGACAGAGAGAGAGAGAGAGAGAGAGAGAGAGAGAATCCACCGTTCCGATGAGAACGTCCCGGAGGCATCTTCACTTTCACTTTCGAGGCAGCTGCACGCGATCGGATCACATGCTCGCTCGAAATCTTTCCTGCTCCGGGGACGTTTTTTCCATCCGGCCCCCGGCAGGCCTCGATTAGTCGGACGCGATAAAATATGCGAGAGATCCGCGGGATCGTGATCGCGAACAAACGCCGGAACAAAGAGTGAAATTCGCGTGCGGCAACCTTTCGGCCTCGCTTCGGATCCGTGAAATGAATCGGGCCGGTTGCATCATCGTCCTCCTCCGATCGTCTACGATCGGCCAGGAAAACGGGCCCGAGGAGGACATTGCCACGCTCGACGAACGTTTCTCTATCAAAAGGGCCATTCCCGGCCGATCGAACTGGGTTCTCTTCGCTGGGAATGCTTGCTAGAATCCTATAACACTGTGGGTAGATCACATTTATGATCTAATTTTAATCTTCTTAATTTTTATTTTTATTTAAAGATACAAATGTATGTACAGTAATGTCTCTCTAATTGACGCTCGCATTGTCCACGAAAATGAACAATTTGGGAAGAGGAGATACGAATGTTCGAGCTTTTAGGGACGTTCTTATGGTCATTGATTCTCAACAATTATAAAAACGGGCTAAAACAATTATAAAAAGGCTCGAACAATCGTATCGCCTCTTCCCAAATTGTCTATTTTTGTGCGCAATCTGAGCGTCAATTAGAGAGACATTATTGTAATATAACGCACAGAAGGAGAAGAAAGAAAACGAAAAATATCATTTTCATTTAACGAGTTTAATCTGTTGCACTGAACTTAATCAATGCACTGAATTCGATCAATTTCTTCCTCGTCGCTGCTCGACACGACCGAACGAGATACGAACGATCGTAAATGAAAATATTAGCGAGCCGCCATTTTGTCGGCTTCCGTGAATCTAGCGTCGATCGCATCCTCGCCCGTGAAAGGCGAGATATCTGCCGTCGAACAAGCAGGATTTTTCTAGAAACAAAGCGGCGAGAAAAGAAGCGAAGAATTCTGTTGCAAGAAACTGAAATGTGCAACGAAATAAAAGAAGCGCTTTCGCGCTAAAAAGCTACGCTTTCGCCGAAATCGCAGAGAATTAGCTGGTCTGCTATCCGTCCGCCGAAAGTCCGCTACGAAGGAACAACGAATTCGAGGCGTTTCGATCGGTGTTCGACCGGCCGATCCTGAAATGAATGAACTCTCCGTTGCAATTTCACTTTCTTACGAGTCTGCTTGCGCAAGCCTCAAGGTTTCCCACATTACGAAAGCCGATAGATTCAACGAGCAAGCGGCGGCTCTCGAGCAACCGGCCGGCCGGTCGTCGTCGTCGTCGTCGTCGACCGTCGATCGTCGCGGTCTCGCATGCCTTTTCGTACTCGTCTAAACGCAGCACTATCTTTTACATCGTGAAAGTGTTTCCTAGTATGTAGGTGGCGAAACCGCAGTTTGCCGGCCGAGCGGCCGCTGCGAACTGCCGTTCGGCGACGAAAATTGATCCTGCCGGGGGTTGACGCGTCGCCGCGGAATATTCTTCCTTGCCGGTAATTGAATTTTCCCGACATGATGCAACTGTAACAGCGGATTACGGCTGGCAGCGCGAATGATGCTGTTGGATAACATCGGCGCGCGATATTATCTGTCAGCGATGGGACGGAGCGCGGCGTTCGAGCGTTCCGCGCGCCGGCTAATGCGCCGACTTTTTGTCCGAGTGAACGTATCAGCAACGTCGGAAACGATTTCTTAAGACCGTCTTACGAATATCGGCGAGCTCATTATTTTCGCCGCGATTCTTTTAGTTCGTTGAACCGTTCTTTGATACGTCGTCGCCACCGGGAAGATCGTTCTCAAGCGACTGTAGCAATTTCTCCCTGATTGTCCTTCGGCTTCGAGACAAAAAAGGACAATTTGGGAAAAGGAGATACGATTATTCGAGATCAGATTATCGAGCACTTTGTTTTTATAATTGTTGACAATCGGCAACTATTAGAATGAGCTGCGGGGCTCGGATAATCGTGTCTCCTCTTCCCGAATTGTCCACTTTTGTTCGCAAGCTGAAGGAAAATTGAAGAAAATTTACTCGAGTTATTATTTTTCATTCTGTTCGAGCGATACGCTTGCGATCCGTGAGATTTTAAAAATGAGATTTAGGCGTTAAAATGTCCATTTTAACGCTCTAACATGGAGGATCTTTTTAACAAAAATATAACTTAGTACATTCAGAATTCTTTGTAATTTTATCCATCGATTTTTACAAAATTCTTTCAAGCCGCTCCGTTCTCGACGCATTAATGTTGCTACAGATCTTAACGAAGCATGCGAGAATTTAAATTAATTGTCAAAGGCTAGATCGTCGAATAACGAACGAACTTTGAACTGCTCATTGACAAGAACCGCCACAGTAAAAGCTTGTAAAACTTGTTTCGAACCCCTCGCGATACCATTTCCTTCGCAGCGATCGTGTCATAGAAGACCTACATTCGCTCGAACAGTTGAAAAGCACATAATTCGATGAACGACAAAGCAACATAATTTAACACTAAACCTACCGCGGTCAAAGCGACCGCTTTCTTATTTTCCAATTCCGCAAAGTTCCGAGACACTTTCGTGGAGAACGCTTGAATAAGTTATATTATTGGAGCAAGTTTTATAATAAAAACTTTACAAATTCTACATAAATTCGGTCTTCTCACTTTTGTGAAGCAGTACATACCAGTTAGTATTACTGCTTGGTAGGTTTTTTTTAGTGTTAATCCCGACTCGTTATTAGAAATCTCCGTCGCGAGTCGTACTCGTCGAATCGGGCCGCGACTCTGCGGCCCGGTTTCGACGAATACGAAAGATGCTGTTCGACGTTCGTTTCCGGCCCTTGAGAATTCATCGGCAGCTCTCGGCGGTCTTGCCAAACGGCGTTCGAAAGTAACGGAGCCGGATGAAATCGTCCGCGGACACGGTCCCCGAAGTCTTCCGCGTCATGAATTTCGAGACCGCGTCAGCGAGCGGCTCTCGTACACGCGAGCGTACGCGCGCGGAGCGGCCGTTTTTTCTGAATGCTAATCGACGGCGATGCGATGAATCTTAAAACGGCGTATCGATTGATATTCATGAGCAGGATACGGAAGTCGTTGATCACACCAAACCAGTCCTTCGATGCGACGGTTTTCGCGATCGGCGACGCGCGGCTCGCGCGACGAATAACGCAGAAACGAGCGAAATATAAAAAACGGAAAAAAAACAGCAGAATCGGCTGATTGTAACCCTTTGCGGACGATGCCGCTCGACGGGTATTGCGTCACTGTGGACGACAGGTATCGATATAAAATAAAAATGTTACAAGATATAATTATATTATTATAAGATTATAAATATGTGGAAAACTTTGTTGGTTTCTCTGGTAGCGACGCAGAGAGACTGACTCATCGAACTGAAATTCGTTCTGAACCTACGGCTAAATAAATAAATTTATACTAACCCTTTGCACTCGAAGCCAAATTAACGCAAAATTTAATACAGTTTTTCTGGTATTTTCATTTTATATAACCTGGT